GCCAAAGCCACCAAGACATAAAGTAACCTAAGTCTTACTAATTGAATGATTATCCTAATTCATTTTGAAAGGGGCAGTAAGCGTTAGGCATTTTCAAATTAGCAAAACAAACATTTGCATTCTGTCATTGAAGCCAAGAACGCAAGAACAGAATTCATTTCATTTCGTCCAAACAAAAATCCTTAGCCAAAATTTTGAAATTCCCTGAACATCGGTTTGGTTTCTTTAGCAGAATTTCGTCCATATTTTGCAGAAGCAGATTTGTTCGAATAATTTCAGGAACAGGTATGTTAAGGCTATCCCTTCTTTCTTTTAGCATGATCCATACGATATGAATGAAACGTACAAATGCACAAATTCCATAAGTGACTCTACTCATAGAAGTAATAGAAATATCTATATTTTTTAATTCCCACGTGTCATAATATTTTATCATCTGTTCATGGGTCTTAGAAAAATACGAAAGTTGAAAAGAGTTTACTTTATGATATTACTCAGAGGCAAGATGGTCTTATGACATTCCGAATAATTTTATTGACATACTTTTTATGCACTGCATTCATGTGCACTGACACATGACCAGATGGCGTTATATACGCGTATATATATAAATATATGTATATGGGATATGGGAAAAGGTTATGGCGTTATATACGCACCACCACCTGATCAGCTGGTATATGATGATGATGTTNTATGACATTTATGTATTCTTAGAGGCTTGTAGACATATGTTGTGTACATAAAAGATTGTACGACCTTGTCGGCCTATGTTTTAAGTTTATAAAGGATTATGTTGGCCTATTAGGCCCGTATGTATGTGTATATGATGATGTATTAAGAAAGATATGTTACGTTAGTACTCAGTTGAGTAAGGTAGCGGGTACCCGTCCCGGCCCATCAGTTTGGGTCGTGACAATCTTGTTCCTTGGAAGTCAAAGAAACAACCTACAATATCATTGTCTTCTGCAGAAGCTGAATACAGGGCTCTTAGAAAAACTGTTGCTGAGCTTACTTGGCTTGTTAGGCTGTTGGCAGACTTGAGAGTTTCTATTTCTGCTCCAATTCCTTTGTACTGTGATAACAGGTAAGCCATTAGCATTGCTAAAAACCCTGTTTCTTATGAGAGGACCAAGCATATTGAGCTTGACTGTCATTTTTTCCGGGAAAAACTTGCTGGTGGCCTCATATCTTTGCATTACATTCCTATTGCATCACAACTAGCAGACATTTTTACCAAACTACTAGCGGGCATTCAACATCAGGTTCTCTTATTCAAGTTGGGAGTTTTTTCACCCTCTAGCTTGGGGGGGGGGGGGGGGGGGGGGGAGGGGGGATGTTAGATTAACAGGCCCAACTCATACATGCCCAAACATATCTGAAGATGAAATAGACCCAGGCCCAAGCACTTGACAGATTTACAAGCTTTGTAATGTTATTGTATATATAGCCACAAATGTAATAGATAGCCATTCTTTTTATTGTTTAATATAAATAGACTAATAAGGGTTAAATTGTATATGAAATATTATTCAATATACACAAATTTTATTTTCTGTATTTTGCTTCTCTCTAGAACACTCGATTAGGGTTTTCTTTAAAACAAATTCATGGATTCTTCTTCGTTCATCTTCATTCTAACAGTCTCAGACTTAATTTTGAATATCCCAATTTATCCCACCTTTTCTCATCAAACTTGATACTATTATTTTATCCCACCTCCCAAGTGGGATAAATTAGTCTAGAGATTATATTTCCAGGATTATAATCCTGGGATAATTTAGTCCGCGTATCAAACGACCCCGTAGGGATTGTTTAGCTGGGGAATAAGTTATCTCGGGATTATAATGACAAGATAATAGTACAAAAATTAAATAATAATAAGATTATTTAGTGGATATATTTTTATTGGTAGATGTTTGATTTATTGGACTAAAAATGGATACACGGGATAAACTATAAACATAGGTTTGTATATACTAGATTAATTGGGATAAATTTTTATCTTTTAAATGTTAACCTTGGCATTTTTAAAAGACTATAGAGGAAGAGTCTTGGAGAAGGAAATCTTTATTATTTTAATGTTTATCTCGGGATTGACTAATTACGGGATTAGTATCCTACCCTCAATATGGGGTACAATAATACCACAATTGTGAGGTCAACTAAACCTGAATTAAGAAATTCAATCAAAAGCGGAAGAAAATAGTCCTCCACCTAATTTTGGATGATTATCCCTTATCCCACCAATCAAACGATCCCTTAGACTTGATGACCTGCTTTCTGCTGCGAGAAAATGACAACCGAATATCTGGACACAAGACAAAGAGTGCATATTTTGCATAAAAGCTAGCAAACGTGTTAGAAAGCACAACCATCTTATTTTATTTACCCTACACCTTGCCTTCACTCATTCTCCAAGAATCCTAACAAGAAATGGACTGGTTCGTATGTGTTCCTCTTGTGCCAGGCCATTTAAACGTTATAATTCGTGATCAAGCAAATGGATGGCTGGATACAGATCTCAGGCAGCACCTGTGGATTAGGAATTCGTTTATAACACAAAGGAAATTGTTAAACAGGAAAGGACAGCTAAACATAGTATAACACCAGATGAAGAGCAGTAGATTGCGAATCAATCATGTGAGTAAATTGCGCTATAAGCACAGAAATTTAACATGGCTGATACGCACTACAGAAGACAATTGATCTAAACTTAAGTAGAAGTAAAATGAACATAAGGCCTCAATTGCATCTAATACTGAATTTGATTTAAGGCATCTTTGCTAACTAGGTTCTATTCAAAAGACCTTTATGCTTGCACAATCTATATGTTAGAGCATCTTATTCTTTCTGCTTTCACATTCAGTGACAGGCAACTTGGGATAATACTGAATGCAACTTTTCCAACCCGTCCACCCTCCACGGACTACGGAACAACACATGGGGAAGCAGAGAGAGACTGAAAGCATATTTCTCTTCACAAAGAGGAAATGATTCAAAAACTCTGCATCTTGCTAAGAACGTCTTTTCTCAAACTTCAAACACCTTTGATTGGACAGTCTCTTTAATGGCTCAACGACCATCCGTCACAATGGCTTCCTTACAAGGGTCCTAAGAATGGATAGCTGAAGTGCACCCACCTCTATTATGAATTATATAGAGGAAAAATATTGACTCAATCAAGATACCTTTTACAGTTGTTTCCTCAAATCCCTGAAACAGGGTCACTATATATACTGTCAAACGACAAGCTGAAACTTAAGGTATTTCAGAACTATCCAGGGACAAATTTGAGGAATAACAAGATAAACATGGCAATTGCAATACCAGGATATTTACTCGCAAACACACAAAGGAAGTAATAAACCTCTTACATTAGCCACAATGGACAATAAAATGGAGATTAAATTGGAGGGGAAATCATATAGATCGCGTTAAAACAAAAATATGGAAATTTGAGTGAGATATCCGTATTATTTGTTACAAGTAATGTCCTTCAAGCTAAGTACCACCCGCAACTCGTTGTCTTTCCTGTTTCTCATCTTAAGTTTATTTGCTTTATTATCATACAAAATATAAGGCAAAGGCCATCCTTCACGCTAAGCTATTTTACCTTCTAAGCATTCTTGTTTCTGGTATACTCCTCTATCCATGCCCTTGCCCAAAATTTGAAGTCACCATCAATTATATTATCTGTGAAATTTAGAACACTGAGCATGGGGTTGCCGAATTTTCTTAATATAAGCACAATGCAGTGGTTGTTCTAAACATACTAAACCCAGTATCCCCAATAGGGTAGAGAAGCAAAGGCCAGTTCAATAAGCAATCACACTTTAAATATATTCTCTGATACCAAAAGGACAAGGAGGAAGGAATGTACAAGAATTTTGACAGGTTCCTGCACAAGATCAGCATCCATATCAGGTAAGTTACACAAAGAAATTGTCCATTCTAACTCTTGTTTGAGGAGGTAATGGTTCCATGAAGTGTTACAGAAAAAATAGATCTTTTCACCCCAAGGTCCCAACACCAAGTTATTCAGAATTCTGTCTTATATGGCATAGCAAAGTCCATGTCCATCGTCAAATTTATAAACTTTAGATATACTTGCCGTCGTAAATTTATAATAAGTTACAGCTCTAACACAAAGCACTGTGATCACTTGGGGTGCCATATGGCCAAATATTTGGCTTCATCATGATAATTATTTAAATCCATCAGTGTTTTTTTTCAAGTTTAAGCAAGTTCAGGCTTGACATCTTATCAAGTAGAGACAAACAAAAGAAGACATAACAGAACATAGAACTGGTGGAGTTTCTCAAAGGAAAGTATAATATCAAACTCAATCACATAATTCACTGATATGCAATATTTCCACCTTCATATACAATGTGAACTGTGGTTGGTACTTTATACAAATTATGGCTCCAAAAATTGAATGAAGAATGCAATGAAGTAGAACATTACAAGATTATGGTTGCTACAAAAGGCGATAACTGCAAAAGGTCATTCATTTGCATAAGGAATAGTTTCATTCCATCAAGTTCTATACCTCGTGCTCGAGTTGTCATCCACCTTAGAGCAATTGGAGGACGGGTTCTCTGGATTCTCCTCAATCTTTTACAAATTTATATTCAGTATGCCCCATTTTCTGAAAAAGTTCTCTTCCAAATTGGGAAATGCCCAAAAAGTAAAAAAATCTTATCCACAAATGTAGTTTTCCTTTGGTTTACAATTCCAAATTTATACTAGCTATCCTCTCAATCTGATAGAAATGATTTTCAACTCCACAAAATGAGAATCATACACCAGAAACTAGAAACACAAAATACAACTACAGAATTACTTCACCCCTCAGAGTTCAAATTTTGGCTGGTAAATGAGGCAACCAAATCAAGAACTACTAGGCCTCTAAGTTCTATCACCCCAATCCCAGAATGCAGCACAGGGGAATCAAATTGTAAACTTTATCATCCAAAAATTTCTGACATCATATTTCATTTATCATTTTGAATAGAGCAAGGCTTAGATTCTACTACATCCAAATGGGGATTGCATTCTTTGGAATAAAAATCATTCTTTTCAATAAAAACTCGAAGCATCTCATAAGTAAACGTGGGGCTATTAGGATCACTAGTCTGTGACTCACCACCTGAATCAGAAGTCAGCGGTTTCTTCAAGCACAAATAACATCCTCCTCCTCCTCCATATAATTCCCTTCTTCTCTCCGAATTTACAGAAACCCCTTTCTGTTTCCTCCTCAAAAACGTCCCTTTAACCTTCCTAAACCGAAAACAAGATACCGTTTTCCCCTTTATCTTCTTACTTTGATCATTTTCCTCTTCTGAATCATCCATCTCCTCACACCTACCACTAACACCGGCGTCGTTATCGTCATCATCGCCGCCGCTTTGTCCAGCGCCACCACCAGTTCTGGGTGGATTATTGGTGGAAACAGACATAAGAAAGTAAAGAGTTTATATCAGGAAATTACAAAGAAGGATTGGACCACAGAACCATGAATGTATTTAGGGGGGGACCTGTAGTGTATGTGTATTTGGATATGACGCAAAGCATCTGAAGTACAGTTGCTGCAGATGAAAAGAGTGAGAGTACAGAGAGAAAGAGAAAAAGTGTGAAATAACTGAGAATTTGAATTGAATTGGAATTGAATTTCTGAAACAAAAACACAGGAGATGGAGAGAGAGGGGAGGGATATGGTTATTGACGCCAAAGTTGTCGGGTTCCCTCACGGGTAACCCTGTAATTAATTGACAGGTGGTCCACTTCTATTACGTGTGTTTTCATTTTTCCTTTATCTTTTCATGGTAGGTATTTATCTATTTTTATTGACGGAGATTGTTTCTTTAGTTGTTTTACAATCATAATAGATTGTGCAGATACATTGATGCCACGTGTTGCCTACACATTTTTCCTTTTATTTTCATTGGTAACTTCACTGATAAATTACTTATACGATTTTTGTGCAGAAAAAAATATCAAAAATTAAGAATACCTTCATAATTTCTATTTTTATATGAAGGCCTTCTATTTTTATTTACTAAAAAATGGCATCTTCTTTTATTGATATTTTTATTATTTCATGTGCTCTTGTTCAAGTAATTGGTATCACACATATTTTAATTTCACATAATGGATAAAATACCCTCGTAAATTATATGAGTATTTTTTTTTGTGCTAGAAACAAAACATTAACCAATTGCTATATTAATATTGCAAAGTTTAAGTAGGAAATAAACAATATATTAATAACACACATATTTCTATGCGTAAAGGTTTAAAAATACACCCCTACACTTCTCAAAATTAATCATTGATGTCTCTGCTAAGAGTTAAATTCAAAAATACCCTCGCGTATTACCCAATTGTATCACATTACTCTTATTTTCTAACACAACAAAAGAAAAGTTGACTAATTTTCCAATCTAAGTCAACTAGTGCCAGGAAAATGCATTATGTTGAGGAACTCATTTATCGTAGATTATTCAAAATAATAGTGTTTGGTAGAAAATAAGAACTATACGTTAAATTAATAACATTTAAACAAAATCCTAACTTCAGAATCACAATGTGTATAATTTGTATTTCATTAGGTTGTATAACTAAATAAACTGCAATATTTAAATGGGTACAAGTCATTTATGTTTTAGTTTCTTTGCTTATCTTATAGGTGTAGTAACGTTTTTCCTGAAATTCTAAACAGCTTAGAAAAACCGTGACGTTTGACGGTAGTACTTTTGACAGCACCTATAGAACTTATTTTCTAAAGAAAATTATGTTAGATTTTTTCTATCGTATATATGACCCAATATAATAAATTTTGTAATTAATATTTAAAGAAAGATAAAATTCGTCCGTTCGATCGATTATTTGATATACGTACCGGATTAAGTGAGAACCCTATAAATTGTTCCTCCCCCATCCATTAGGGTTATCATATTTTTTATTCTTTTTCTATCACTAAAGATGGCGGTCACGAAAACTAAGACAAGGGGTGATAAACCAATTTCAATTAACGTTTATGTTTTCTGTAACAATTATATGTAAAATTATCATGTCCAAATCGTGGTATGAATTAAAGTTTATGTTTACAAATTCTACTAAAGTTATACTACAGTACACCATTATGTTTTTATAATAATATATAGGACAGAGATTCGTGATATAAACAAGCTTCCAGTTGTTTGATTCGTGATACTCGTTTATTTCAGTTTTGCTTATTTTTACTACCAATGTTCTAAAAAATTGTAGAAATGCAATTTCAGTCCTTTTTTTTGACGGAAGGAGCTGTCACTTGCCTTGCACTTCACTATCACCCTAATTAATTGGCCACACTTTTTAGGACAGTGAAATTGTTAGTTTTTCCAACAATTATGGTGATGTATGAGAGAGGTAAGCAATGATGCAACTCTC